GTTAACCCGCGCCCTGCTGGGGGTCCTGGATTTCCACGCCCTGCTGGGGGGGGGGGGTGTTTGAACACCCCCCCCCCTTGTAACTCGGCTCCTGGGCCACGTAGCGATACGCGGAAGGCGGCGTTCGAAAGAACGTAAAAAATAATGACGAAATCACTTCGGTCAATTTTTTGGTCAGGTCAAAGGTCAGGTCACCAGAGGTCATTGAAGGCGAAATTTCGCCGATTTCCAGGTCGAATGTCGAAAATTTCCAAGAAGCCAACGCATAACTCGGGAACCAATAGAGCTACAGCGCCGCGGAAAAGCGCATTCGATAGCCCTATTAACGCCCTTTCTGAGTAATTCTCTCAGATTTGACCTAACGTCAACGGTTTTGCCTGCAGGGGGCAAAAACTGCAAAAATAGCCGATTTTTTCGAAAACAGTTTTTCTGCAATAACTTTTGACCAAAACCTTGTACAAGCTTACTTTTACCGGCATCGTGTTCCTCTCGTCAAGACGCATCGAATGAACTATAACTTGACCTTGAAAGGTCAACTTGAAAATTTGACCTCAGGTCAAGGTCATGACCTGACCGGAAAGGGTCATGTTGCATATCAGTCGATCCGTATCGTCGAGCTGAACACATCTAAGGCGTTTTCATCGCTCTAGCATGCCTCTATCAAAAGTTATTTGCGAAAAACTGTTAGATACCATTCGTGACCTAAGATGACCTCAGGGCATAAACAAGGGTCACGGACACCATTTTCAAGTTCAGTGTGTCTAAACCACTTGTAATTCGGTGTTTGGGAGTGTTTATAATGTCTTTCCTCCAAAAGAGGCGCATTTCAATTTTCTCCCATTGACTTATAATGGGGAGGTCGCAAAATTGACCTGACCTTAGGTCATCGATATCAAAATTCCGAGATATACATTTTGTACATGCTCTTGCTCTTAGCAATCGCTGAAAGTTTCAAAGCGATCGGTCACTCGGTGTAGCTATGACAGACATTGAAAGTTTTTATGAGGTGAGGTCACTTCAAGTGACCTGGTGACCTGACCTTGAATGACCTTGGTCTGAAATTTTCACAACATGTGTAGAATTGATGTATGATAAGGTGTACCAAAAACGGCGGCGGTGGGAAAATCATTATAAAATCCAAAATTTTGAATCCAAAAATTTTCACAACATGTGTAGAATTGATGTATGATAAGGTGTACCAAAAACGGCGGCGGTGGGAAAATCATTATAAAATCCAAAATTTTGAGTCTATCGAAAAAACCGGAAAATATGTCAGAGAAGTGGTCTATGTGCACCTACATACCAAATTTTAGAAGAATCGGTTCAAAAATGTGGGAGTTATTCAAAATTTTATGACGTCACGACACACAAAATTTTTGAAAAATGACTTTTTTGGAAGTTCTAGACCTCGTACGGAAACAAAAATAGCACCATTCGATTCGCCGTGAAAAACTGCATCAGATAGACACCTTTGTAGGCCTTAACAACCAACTTCAAAATTTGACCTCACTTGACCTGACCTTGACCTGACCTCGACCTGAAATTCATCCAGAGGTGGTCCATATCACTTATTGAGTGTGCCTATTGAATTCTATGAGTAAAATGACCCATAAAACATGTGTCGCACATGCCCTTTTCTATATTTTGTTTTTTGGTGACCTGACCTGACCTGACCTGACCTTGACCTTGACCTCTGAATGATATTGTATGCAACGAATATTGTCTTGGTAGCCTAAGAACACGTTTTGGGCGATCAGTCTCAGTCCATGACTCCATTCTTCGGCAACTACGGTGCAAGGCCGATACTGTAGAAACTTGCAATTTGTACCCTTGACCTGACCTTGACCTTGACCTCAAACTTTAAATTAAGTACATGTTTTTAGTAGTTCGTGATGAGAGCTTTCGATTGGCGTTTGAATTTTCCAAATCGGACCATTAGTTCGGGAGATAACAGGGGGGGTAAAATTTACCCCCCCCAGCCCCGCGCGTTCGGCTGGAGACCCCAGCCCCGCGCGGGTTAAATTTGAATTTAAATAAACAACATTTGTACTACATTTAAAATAAACCAAGAACATGCATATTGCTACTTTTTGTGACCAATTGTAACTTTTTCATGACAGCACTGATGACAATCTTATCAACAAGCTACAGCCACTGTTATTGCCTATTGGCATCAAATGACCAAATGTTCGATACGAAAGTTCCAATTAAAATGAGCAATGCGGTTTATTGTCAATCACATTTGACACTATAATGATGGTTGATGGCGAACGAAACATCACTTGAATTTAACGTCTTCGTTTCGTTTCTTCGTTCGTTCGTGTCGCTAGCTCATTTTTCGCATTATCGTTAATTTTCGTTTCGAGGTTTCGCCTTAGGTCATTTCGATATTTCGATTTCACAACTTCATTTTCTTGTTGTCACTGGCCCAAATTAAAATATTTGAATTTTCTTTCACGCGCGTTCGTTGTCCTCCAAATCTTCACTCAACTTCTGATTTCGGGATTTTGTTTCTTACCGCACTAACAGCCACTTTAATTCAAAGCACAAACAGTACAGACAGATGCAGTGGCAGCAGGGCACTGCAGATTTTCATTTTGGTCCCATTCTTTCTGCAACGCCAGTAGGGCTAATGCTAAAATGCCAAAATCTATGGGGGGCACTGTACCCTGGTGCCACCCCCCCCCCCTGTTTTGCCGCCTATGGACAGATGTTAGGAAATCAAACCTGGAAGCCAAATAGGTCAGTTTTGTTAAAAATAATCCAGCAATCCACTTCTGCCAGGTAGATATGAAATCCCAATCCAGAATGTTCATATGAGCTATTAGTATGTGCAACACAATTTCGATTTAGTAAGAATAACAACCAACCTCTAATACTTTCCTTATAAAATTACAAGTTCAAAAATGGCATCAACTTCTTCAGATTACCTACTTTTGGCCACTTTTTAGATCGTGCCACGTGCGGTGCCATGTTGTGCTTTTGTTATGAGAGAGCCTCCCAAAAAAAGACAAACGAAATTCACAGCTCACGTTTTGGTAATATGGTTTTATTACGTCATTATCGTTTGACCAATGAAAAATTTTAATTTGACCAAGACCGTAATGATTCCAAAAGATTCCCCGTAATAGGCCCTTTAAACTAATGACGTAAGATATTGTTATTCTTTTGAAAAGTGAATAAAAAAAAAGATGCAAGGCGCACACCGCTCAGGGCCATATAATACCGTTTCAGCTTACGTTTACGTCATTAAATTCAACGCTACAAAGATGATATTCACAAACAATCGTATCGTAAAATTATGTGAGGCAGAAAAAATGAACATTCTTAAAAAAAGCTCCAGACTTTTGAATTTCCAGTTTGATTTTTTATTTATTTTCATTATACTCGAAGGTAGAACGCCTAGCTCATTTGTTATTTGAAATGACGTCACGAGTTCAATTTAGATACTGAATAATCATTTTACGGTAAATATCCAAGGCCATTACAATTGATATTTCTCGCTTCCCATCGCTTCCGCAGGCTGTTGAATATTTTTATACTTTTGTTTATATCTCAGTTTATTTTATCAAATATTTCTTTCAATAGATTGAAATACCTTTACCTAACCAAGCCACATGTGTCAGTATCATATTTTATTGTTTATCAATCAATTGTGGTAGCTGGAAACTGGAAAGCCTCATGGTTGTCTAATGCAAGATCAATGAGATTGTCTTATCAATATCATTATGTAGATTCTAACATGAATTGTGATGTGGTAGGTACCTAGTTATGTATTGTTCATTAGTCATTACTTTGACTTACCTCTATGTTAATTGTTAATGCAAACTTTTCTGTTGGTATGTGAACTGTGAACAATCTTCATGTCACTCAATTCTCTCAAGTTGTGACCGTCATGAGCCTCCTTTATTTTGTATTCTGTATAATGTAACTGGATGCCTTTACTAATATGGTCTTTGTATAAGATTGTTTGTTTCTAACCATACTTTGGTATTCATAACTTCTTATGAAAGAAAGTTGTTAACATTTTGAACACCTATGAGCTATGATCCCAATGGATCTCACGACAAAATTGGGGAGCCAGATCTATGATCCGAGTGGATCTAGCGACAAAATTGAAGGGTCAGATCTATGATCCCAGTAGATCTCTCGACAAAATTGAGGGTTTGGATCTATGATCTGAATGGATCTCGGATCGGGATCCATGGGATCGGATCTCAGATCCATTTTTCCGGATCCAAGCACATGTCTGCTCAAAGGTAAAGGTCACTGAAGAGTATCCCTGCTAGAGGCTATTTCACTAATTCAAGTTAGTAATAATAAATAAGACAATTTTGCCATCCGGAAGCTCAAAATGAAGGCTTAGAGGAAAATAGATGCCAGATTCGTGATCAGCGGGTACAAATCCATCATAAACGACCTTTCATGTGTCAAGGTCAACCAGAGGTCATTCGAGGTCACATGAGGTCAAAATAAAACTTGACCTTTTCCGAACAAAATATACATCATTCGACGCGGCTTGACAAGGCGAATGCGATGGTACCACTGCCGTAGCTCTAGGACCATTTTTGTCGAAGTTATTTGCGAAAAACTAAAACCACATTTCGAGGTCGTTGACCTGACCTCTGACCCCAGGTCACCAAAACTATTTTTTCTATTTTTCTCTAGGTCAAACGCTACACAACCGTGCTCGTAATTTGGCTTTATCTCTAAAACTCTATTTTTAGCAGCTATTTGAAGTTTGCGTCTGTGACGCCGAAGTTTGCCGTGCAGGGGTCTAGAAAAATGGACATTGTGACGTCATCAAGGGGGCTAGGTCCAAATTTTTTACTTCAGAAGATGTCAAATTGATGGGAGAAAAGGTACTGAAAGTTTCGCTTTCCTATCCCTAAGCGTTCGGGAGCTATCGCAAATATTCGCCAGGGGGGCGAAAAACGCCCTCCCCCCGGGCCCGCGAGGGTTAACACGAATCCCTGTTAGTGTTAAAGTTTGGACCTTACCTGATGACTTTGGCGGTGTTGGCATCCAGTTTCAAAAGAAACTTGATTTCGTTCCCAATCGTTTCTTCCTCTTTCTTTGCATGGTATTCTATGCGTTTCACTGCCACGTCTCGTCCAGAAAATTGTCCCCTGCGTGATAGAGTAAAATTGGTCAATATTGTGAGTGTCTATCACATCAGTACATTATCTTTTTGTTTAACTCGCGCCCCACTGGGGGTCATTGATTTCCACGCCCTGCTGGGGGGGAAGGGGTGTTTGAACCAGAGTATATACACAACCGGTACAGTCAGAGTTTGGGATATGGCAGCAGTCAAATGTCGACAGAAATGGCGAACAAGTCACAAATAGGGGTAGCTTTATTCCACTGTTATGCTTACTCTCGAATAACTGTTGACTCCCATGACGTCATAGAGTAAAAATCACGATTTAAGTCGTTAAGACGACTTTTTGACATTGTTGAATAACAAAATTATATTGTGTCACCTGTTTTTTCTTGAAATCTCCAAACAAATATCTTTTATCATTTCTATTGGCAAATTATTTGTTGACAACATCATCGGAAGCCGCGAGTCAGCGAATGCAGTCGGTCGAAAAAACACACGTTTTCGGCGGCCGAGGTAAACAAAATACTTACAAGCCGTTTTCATGACGGAACTTTTGCGGTGGAACCTATCTGATACATGGAAAGTACCAACCCTTTAAGGTCTTAGAATCCTTACAACTTAACCCTCGCCGGACCTATTGGTTTTCTACATACGCGCCGGCCGAGGGGGGGGGGGTGCGGGTACGACCCCCCCCTCGCCGTTTCGCCCCTGGTGGAGCTAGCGCGTCGCAAAAAAACGAGCGTGTGCGCCGTTACGAGACGCAGAGATTGGTACCCGATTTTAAGGTCCTAGGTCAACCGGTGACCTCTGAGGTCAGGTCAAGTGCCCAAAGGTACGGTTCAGTTTTTGGTGAATAACTTCGCAGAAAACGGCCGCAGAGCCGCGATTTTGGCAGCATCGTGTTTGTCTCGCTCAGGCGCGTCGAATAATATACTTTTTGTCCGGGTCAGGTCCACTTGGGGTGTTGACCTCAGGTCAAGGTCAGGTCAGCACCCCCAGGTCACGAAGTTTGTCGAAAGAGGTCATGTCGCATATCATTCGATTTGGCAGGTCTTCCTGAGTCCATTGGTGGCTTTCCCGACTCGCTAGCTCAATTTGATCAAGAGTTATTGACGAAAAACTAATATGACCTTGATGACGTCATAAATGACGTCACGCAAGGTCAACATTGCAAAAGTGACGCATCTAACCTTGCAAGGAGTGCATAAAATCACGATTCTGTGTGCTTGAGGTAGTTGGAGATCGTTCCCGGCGCCAGAATAGCAGTTTTCATTTTTCCCCATTGACTTATAATGGTGAGGTCACGAAAATGACCTGACCTCATATGACCTTTAGGAAAAATCCGAGATATACAAGTTGTGGGACTCATAATGGATACTAGATCCTGCAAGTTTCATTTCCCTGTGACATCTCCTCTGGCAGTGAGGGCGTTGCGAAGTTGCGACATCTGAAGACCGTGCAGAGGCTCACTTATGACGTCATAGGTCAGTGACCTGACCTGACCCAAAAATGCGGTTGGCGTCAAAAGACCCGGCTTGGATCAAAGGTCAGGTATGCCAAGTTTCAGCTCTCTATCGCCAGCGTGTTCGGAGCTATCGCGAAAAAACCCTATTGGGGGGGGGGCGGCATCCGCCCCCCCCCCCCTCGGCCGGCGAGGGTTAAGTCTTTAGCCTTCAAAATATTTTTAACCCTCGCCCTGGCAGGGGGTTCGATGCGACCCCCCTAAGGTTTTTCAAAGATAGCGTAAAAACGGCGCCGCCAAATTTGGCACAGCCTACGGGGCTACCGCTTTACATATGACCTGAAAATTTCAGGTCCGGGTGACTTTGGGTCAGGTCACCAGGTCAGAAAAACCGGTACAAGGTCTTGGTCAAATTTCAATTTTCTTTTTGCACCTGTCCAACTCACAGTTTTGGCCTGATTTCCTTCAAATTTTCAGGATGTGCTAAGTTCACCGAGTTGTATAACATGTAGTTCGGGTTTTTCGAGGTCACTGACCTGCGGTCAGTTAGAGGTTATTACGTCGTTACGTTATGCCTACGGGAAAATACTAAATTCGGAAAATACTGGAGATATCCGCTTCGTTCTATCACTTTTGTGCTTTGAAACCACAGTACTTAACAGCAGGTCACTTGGTGCTTCTTTGTTTGGTGTACTTATCCATGGGTCAGGTCAAATGAAGCCAACTGAGGTCAAATGACGTTTTTGCCAATAACTTGGCACATAATGACGCTAGAGCTTAAAAAATGGTGTCATTGTGTTTCTGGTGATCAGCCGAATCGAATGATATGCCATATGATGCAATTTGGTTAACTGATACTTAATTAATTAATTTACGTTTTTTTTTTAATTAAGAAAAACTTTAATTACACTTAAGCAAGCTAAAAAGTATATCATTCGACGCGCCTTGGCGTGCTGAGTTCACTGGTGCTTTTCTTGTTGCTCTATCCTAATTAGATCAAAAGTTATAAGCGAAAAACCTTTGACCTGTTTTTAGCGAATTTTTTACATTTATACCCCCAATACCCCTTAAATATTGACCTAGAGCAACCAAATTTGCACAGGGGCTAGAACTCCAGGGGGCCCACCCACCTACTAAATTTAGTGTTTCTAGGTGCCATAGGAGCCAATCGCGAGGGGGGTCGGATCGACCCCCCTGCCAGGCCGTGTTATGAAAAATGCCCTGCCAGGGCGAGGGTTAAAAGTTGTAATCCAGACGATTTTGGCCATCAAATCGCTTATTTACTTGCAAACAAGTCAATTTTCGGTTCTAGTTGCCCAACTTTCGACTATGAGGGATCAAATCAGCTAGGCAACTAGATACCCGGCTTCTGTTTCACCGGCCCGACGCTGCGCGCGCCCTGGTGGTGCCCGGGCGCAACAAATCCGCCGCCGAATTGGCAGTGGCATTGACTTCCGCCGTCTGCTGTGGTTCCAAAGTCAAGCCAGCGTGGAATTGGGAGAGCTCGTTCACCCACAGCTGGCAGCTTAGTATATTTCCTTATCATTGTACTAGCATTATATAGATATGCTAATTTCATAAACGTGCTTACGCTTTAGGTTTACGTGAGTGGTAACTGGTAAACCCTTAGATAAAATAAATTTATGTAATATTTAATAGAAAAACAGCCAAGTAATGGGCCACTTATTCGAAAGGTAGAAACCCTACTACAAAAAAAAACTCCGAAAATTCCTGAGGCATCAAAGGAAAATACTAAAATTCCTGAGGTACCCGAGGTATTTCTTACAGGTATTCCTGAGGTATCAAAGGACCAAACAGGCATGTATTAGATACCCGCTATTCCGTCGTGAAAACGGCTACAATATACCTTTGGGTGACATGTTATTTCTATCACTGGCGGATCCAGGCTTGCGTTTTGGGGGGGGGGGGGCAACTCATGCAGGAGCCAAACCTAGGGTACCCCCAAATCCTGTTTTCTCATCGGATTTAGGCCACTTATTTTTCGTCACAGCCCTGACACTATGAATATTTTTTTTAACCCTCGCCCTGGCAGGGGGGTCGATGCGACCCCCCCCCCTAAGGTTTTTCGAAGATAGCGGAAAAACGGCGGCGCGCAGCGCCGCCAAATTTGGCACAGCCTATGGGGCAACCTTTTTACATATAACCTGAAAATTTCAGGTCCGGGTGACCTTGGGTCAGGTCACCAGGTCAGAAAAACCGGTACAAGGTCATGGTCAAATTTTAATTTTCTGTTTGCACCTGTCCAACTCACAGTTTTCGACTGATTTCCTTCAAACTTTCAGGATGTGCTAAGTTCACCGAGTTGTATAACATATAGTCTGGTTTTTTTTAGGTCACTGACCTGAGGTCAGTTAGAGGTCATTACGTCGTAATGTTAAGCCTATGGGAAAATACTAAATTCGGAAAATACTGGAGATATCCGCTTCGTTTTATCACTTTTGTGCTTTGAAACCATGGTACTTAACAGCAGGTCACTTGGTGCTTCTTTGTTTGGTGTACTTATCCATGGGTCAGGTCAAATGAGGTCAGCTGAGGTCAAATGACGTTTTTGCCAATAACTTGGCACATAATGACGCTAGAGCTTAAAAAATGGTATCATTGTGTTCCTAGTGATCAGCCGAATCAAATGATATGCGATATGATGCAATTTGGTTAACTTGAACTTAATTTATTAATTGAAGTTTACTTAAAATTTAAGAAAAACTTTAAGTACACTTAAGCAAGCTAAAAAGTATATCATGCGACGCGCCTTGACGTGCTGAGTTCACTGGTGCTTTTCTTTTTGCTCTATCTTAATTAGATCAAAAGTTATAAGCGAAAAACTTTTGACCTATATTCATCGAAATTTTTACATTTATACCCCCCAAAACCCCCCTAAATATTGACCTAGAGCAACCAAATTTGCACAGGGGCGAGAACTCCGGGGGGCCCACTTACCTACCAAATTTGGTGTTTCTAGGTGCCATAGGAGCCAATCGCGAGGGGGGGGGTCGCATCGACCCCCCCCCCCTGCCAGGCCGTGTTATGAAAAATGCCCTGCCAGGGCGAGGGTTAACTAAAAAGAAAAATATATACATGGTAGCCCACCCGACCCATGCCTTTATGTCACTTTGTAAACACTTACCATTGCTTTTGTCGACCAGTTAACCCGCTTCGAGTCAGTGCTTGGGTCCCTTTGCGGGCCGGGAGGTGGTAAAACACCCCCTGTCTAACTCGGCTCCTGGGCCACGCACTGATTAAACTATGTTTCATTATCGTTTGGGGGAGGGGGCAAACGGGCCACTTTAGGCCTCTGGGAAGGGGCATGGCCCTAAATGCCCCCTCCCTGGATCCGCCAGTGTAACAGACCATTGGAGCTGCAGTTGGGTACCTCAGACGTCAGGGTACGCCCTCAGATGTATAGGACTCGCGTGGAGACCTCTTATGCTATAGTGGACTGAAAGGACCCAAAGGAGCCCGTCTAGGGCTCCCGGAGATAGACGTGGGCCCTCAGGAGCCCGCCAGAGCCCCCAATGAGGGATAAGTGAGGGAT